CCGTCCGTCCGTCCGTCCGTGAGTCAGTCTGTCCAGAGTCATATTTCAGAATCCTGTGGACCCATTCCGTTCATTCTTTGCATGTGCCTAGTACCTTATGTAGGACATATGCACATGCAGTGGTTTAGTGATTTGATTTAAAATGGTAGACTGGCAGGCATCGTGTTTTTTTTTTATGCGGTATCTTGGACGTGCTCTGTCAGTTTTCATTCAAATTTGGCACATACATGTACTTTATACATGTTAGGATGCATGTCCATGACAATTTGTTTCAAAATCTGGTCAAGGATGGCCGATTGACAGCCATCTGACTTTTTGCCTTACTACTATATTTCCACAATTTATGTACCATTTTCATTTGTATTTGGCAAATACATCATACATATCAGTGCGTTTCATAATCAGATCAAAGATGGCCGAATAACGGCTGTTTTTATTTTTGGCCATATTACTACTACACGGAACATGTGTTTTGATGTAAATAAACAATCTGTTGTATACGTCACTTGGAACTCAAGTTTCAAGGACACGCTCGCGGCACCCCCTCCGCTTTAATATGACGAGCACAAAGAGAACTTAATTTAACGGAGACTGTGTCATTTTCAATGACTTCTTGGTATTTGTGTTTTACAGATTCAGATAAACTGCCTCAGCTGTGGCAATTTTTTTTTTTTTAAATTACCATGTCTGGTCAATTATAAGATGTATTCATTGCTATTAACTGCATAGAACAGGTCAGAATGAAAACTGCCTTCTCATTGGTTGGCACCTAAATATTCAACTTACTCATTAGCATATTTACCGCCTCAAAAACATGCTGACAACTATAAAGGATGTGGCAAAACAGTCATGGAAACACATATATTTAACAAATTCATTCTCAAAGGCAATTAACATATAAAACAATAACATTTTTACAGCAACATCAATCTTGAGTTAAGGATATGGTTTTTGGTTTACGTTTCATGTGCATGGTCGAAGTGTATGACCTATGACCTCTACTTATCAATTTGATTAGCTGTACACTGCTGTCTGTGGCGGAAATAACCAGAGTTCATTTTTGTCACTTTTCACAAAATGAAACTCATCTAAATATTTTTCAAATATTTTAATCATAGTAGGTTATGGCAAATTATGTTCGTCTCCAAGTTGTAATAAATTATTTTTAAAAAGTAGAAAATTTTTTTAATTTTAATTTTTTTAATTTTTTTAATTAGGGGAACAGTTACAGAACTCTGTCTAAATCTACCATTATTCAATAACCAAAACTTGTGTAACCAATAACAAACATGAAAGTTTAGAATGTAGTTATCCGAAGGAATGGTCATCTCCTTTATAAGTCAAAGGGTAAAACAGGCTTAGTTTTATTGACATGAATTGTGCTGAATACAAACAATCATGCTATACAATGCTATGTTCAATTCCAGACTAAAATCTTCTTTATTTCTAGAAGAGGGATTACATATTTCAGTAATGATAACAAAAATGTTATTTTTACTTGTAGATATTCCACTTGCCGTACATTACGAAGGCCTTCTGAAGAGTGGAAAATGGCAAAACAGACAGCCAACAAAATCGCCGCTAAAAAAGTAAGTAAACAGTGTCAACTACTACAGTTTTGTCTGATAATTGATCAAATCGACTGATAAGTGATTAGCTGTCTGTCACATGTAAAGGGTATTGTTAGTTCAAAGTTGTAGACTGGTATGACTGAATATTCACACAAACTGTTTATGTTCACTCACAATCAATGCTTGGAGACTATTTCAAGGGTGATATTAGTGTATTCTAACACAGTAATATCCAAGCTGTCCAAAAGATTTAATTAAATGAATTTTTTCATGTACAACAAATTATTTTACAATGTTATTTGCAAAGAATTGGCTGTAGAACACAATACAGTTGGGTTATATTGGTAATGAGTACACTGATTGAATGTCTTGTGCTTTTATTGTGTTGTATACATGTCTTCGGTGCAGGGGTCAGTAAAACAAATTGTGACTTGTCTGAGAAATGTTCCCTTGACATGCTTGGTGGCGCTTCTCTTGGGTGCTTCATGCAATTCCATCTACCACATTTGCTGTGGTGAAATTATGTTGTATTTTAATGAATATAAATACAAATTTTGAGTTTATACTGAGAAATGTGTCGTTTTAGCACTTGCCTTTTTGGCTGATTTATCTAATCTGAAATTTCACTAATTAAAGATAACACTTATTCTCACAATGAGATTGTCACCACTTTAGCTAAATAAAAAAATAAATATTGTTTAAAATGATATGTAGCCATTTCAACACGTTTTACAGAAATAGAGCAAATATGGTATTCCATTGTGAATTACAGCAAACAATCATTAATTAAATAAGTCATTTTGGCAGTGAAATTGTTTTCAGGGTTACTATTTGCAAATCTGATTAATTGTACCTTTTCAAGAAAACCAAAGAGAATACTTTTTGTTTGAAAACATCATTAAGCTGCCTTGAGTTGTCTAGTGTTGTGGATTGTGTCAGGTTCTATTTTTTGAAGCATGTCAATCTACTGTGATTATTGGAGTCAAAATAGTATTGACCATTAATCTCGCATCCTCTTCGACCTAAATGCCATCATTTATATTCACATTGCCTCCCAAACCAACTTAAACAATCAGTATTCTGAAAACCTTTCATTGTAATGCATTGATGCATGTTTTACGGATGCTTGCAGTTTGACCTATTTCTTGTATGGCCATTTTTATAACCACAATTCAGTCATTCATTGCATTCATTGTATAGTCTCTTTTCGACAAGATGAGGTGTACTATGAAATAAAAGTAATATTACAGCTTGTGTACCAATTAAGATTTATATGCATGTACCTTGGGGGAGGGGGTGCTTTCATCTGGTTGTGAACTCATGCAATTAAAATTACCAGTTCAAATCTTAGCAGATGTACATTGGTAACACATTCAGTTTTGTGATCAACCCATTTTGTAAGAAATATATTTTCACTGCGATTTGTAATCGGTGACTTTAGAGATTTTCTGGCAAATTATTAAATTGTGAAAAATTAAAAATGCCTTATATTGTATAAATCAAATAAAAATTGTATGTCAATATTTAACTGTCTTGGAATTGCATTCAATATGAGCAAGTTATCCAGTGGGTTCTGTAAGTTGTTGGTCCAACAAGTGACTGAAGTGGGTCCATTTCCAATGAATTCTAGTCCCATTATTCTTTAACAGCAGGCCTGCATCGATGTTACGACATTTACAAATTTTTGTCCTGTGATGAGAATTAGTGCACACCGAACAGTCTATTATTCTACATTTTGTGGAATAAAAGAAATTTATTCACAGTATTTAAAATGTTGAATGTTAATATTATCCAAAGGGTTGTTTTATGTATGGTAAGTTGGCAATTACCAGGAATGAATATAAAATTGTTAGTATTTGTTATGTGCACAGCACATCAATAGCTTACAGCAATAATATTGTATTTGCTGGAACTGGCTTTTGTTTGCAAATGCATTCTTGTGTAATTATTGTCAAATTTATTAATGATCATAAAACTGAAACTGAAAGTTCATCAGTGTGTACTGAATGAAATTAGGTGATGTTGTACACTTGTTAGTCCCCGTTCGGACGAAGTCCGAAAACGGGAACTTATGATTCGGTCTCCGTGCGTCCGTCCGGAGTCGTATCTCAGAATCCCTTGGACCGATTCCGTTCATTCTTTGCATGTGCCTAGTACTTTATGTGGGACATATGCACATGCAGTGGTTCAGCCATTTGATTCAAAATGGCCGACTGGCAGCCATCTTGTTTTTTGAAAATGTTGTATTTTGGACATGCTTTGTCAGTTTTCATTCAAACTTGGTACATAGATTATACATGTTAGGATACATGTCCATGATGATTTATTTCACAATTGGATCAAAGATGGCCGACTGGCAGCCATCTTGTTTTTTGAAAATGTCGTATTTTGGACATGCTTTGTCAGTTTTCATTCAAATTTAGTACATTGATCATACATGTTAGGATACATGTCCCCGACCGTCTGCGAGTTCCTGAGTCTGTTCATCCAACCGTCCATGTGTCAGTCTATCCATCGTCATATTTCAGAATCCTGTGGACCGATTTCGTTCATTATTTGCATGTGCCTAGTACCTTATGTGGGACATATGCACATGCAGTGGTTTAGCGATTTGATTCAAAATGGCCGACTGGCAGCCATCTTGTTTTTTGAAAATGTTGTATTTTGGACATGCTTTGTCAGTTTTCATTCAAATTTGGCACATACATGTACTTTATACATGTTAGGATGCATGTCTATGACAATTTGTTTCAAAATCTGGTCAAGGTAGGCCGATTGACAGTCATCTGACTTTTTGGCCTTACTACTATATTTCCACAATTTATTTACCATTTTCATTCGTATTTGGCACATACATCATACATATCAGTGTGTTTCATAATCAGATCAAAGATGGCTGAATAACGGCTGCTTTTATTTTGGCCATATTACTATGACACGAAACTCGTGTTTTGATGTAAATAAACAATCTGTTGTATACGCCACTTGGAACTCAAGTTTCAAGGACACGCTCGCGACAACCCCTCTGCTTTAATATGACGAGCACAAAGAGAACTTAACGGGGACTGTGTCATTTTCAATGACTTGTTTAGTAATAGCTGTCCGAAAGTAGAGCAAAAAGTGAGCGTTGGATGATGCATTTTAGTTTTGAAGAATTTTTATTTGCCACTCTGCTTTAGCTGATGTTATGATGGGCTAAAATTGTAACAATTTTGTCCTTCCAGAAAATCACATCTCAACCACAGCCAGCAGGTGAGGAAAGCAAGCCAGAAGTTAGCAAAGAGTGCAGCAGCAGCTTTACTCTCATCAGCCAAGATGAGAAGTCGAACAGATATGAAACTTCTCTCCAGATCGCACTCTCTCCCATCCTCAGTACCAAATACACCTAAAAATGCTGGATCTGATTCACGGCTTTGTCGAACTGATGTAAAGAAACGACGAGCAGCACAACTTGCAATGAGCAAATGTAAGTGCAAGGAAAACACTTCTTAGTATAGAAAAAAAAATAATGCAAACTGGTCAGGTTTAAGAATATAACACTTGTATTGAAATCTTTACTGGGTGAAATCTCGGAGCAAAAATCAGTAATTATAAAAATATTGAGTATTACCTGCTGTGTATGCGTTCGTGCGAAGTACGCAATTTATTATTTTCTGTGGAAATCAAGGTTATAAATACTTGTACTAATACATAGTGTGCATGACAGTTCCTTGACAGGTAAAATCTATCATTTGTAATAAATTGCAATGCCCATATTTGATGTAATGGTTGCTAAAATATGCTAGTGTCCTTCAAGCATAAGTTGGTTAGGTTGATGGCATGCCAAGATTTGAGTACTTTAATCAATTGTTTTATCTCAAACTGTATATCATGTCCTGAACTGCTGAACTGATCAATAGTCTTGTATCTTATCACCAATAGTTTGTCAGTTTGAGATTGATTGAATCTGGATCATCAACTTCTGTCATTTATAGCATAGAGAGAGATGAACAAAAATAATCTAAGGCAAAAAATTTAACCGAATTGCAAACATTATCTGGCCAAAAAAGGTTGGCAAACATTCTGTTGTCAAGATTTGTTTTTTGCCAGTCTGAAAAGATAATGGCTTGAGAAATTTGATTAGAAGTTATCTACACAACTGGTTTCCTCATTTCCTTGGCTTAGTTCTATCCAACAATCGCTGTTCTGTTATTTAAAATTGATGCGTTACAGGGATTAAAATTCGTGGAAGAGGCATCAAAGCTAATTTCCTGCCCTGCCCTGCCCTGCCCTGCCCTGCCCTGCCCCGTCTTACCCTGTCCTGCCTTGCCTTGCCTTCAGAAATATTCAGATACCATATTATCTCTTTGTGTGTGATTGTTTCAATTTAATGATTCATCCATTACATAATAAATACAATATGGTGTATGTGCACTTCTATCCAGAGGTGTATGTGTGTGTAATAGAGAAATACTATGTGTTCTGTTTATTCCTATCCTCTGTGGTATCCTGTGGATTCCTATCTTCTGTGGTATCCTGTGGATTCCTATCTTCTGTGGTATCCTGTGGATTCCTATTCTCTATAGTATCCTGTGGATTGCCATTCTTTATGGTATCCTGTGGATTCCCATCCTCTATGGTATCCTGTGGATTTTCATCCTCTATGGTATCTTGTGGATTCTCATCCTCTATGGTATCTTGTGGATTCCCATCCTCTATGGTATCCTGTGGATTTTCATCCTCTATGGTATCTTGTGGATTCTCATCCTCTATGGTATCCTGTGGATTCCCATCCTCTATGGTATCCTGTGGATTCCAAGTGTAATGGTAATTCCATACATACTAATGTGTCACTTCTTTTCTCCAGTTGCCATGAAGAAAAATCGTAATAGAGCCCTGTCACTGCCAAGCAATCTAAACAACAGACCACCATCATCACTGAGTACACCCATCAACTCTATTGCATCCAAGGACCCTAACCTGGCATTGTCAGCATCCATGCCTGGCAGCTCATTGCAAGCATACCTTAAAAAGAGACGTGGTGAAAGTGCATTTGATATTAATAACATTGTCATCCCATACTCAATGGCTTCATCCACCAGAGTTGAAAAACTTAAGTATAAAGAAATTCTTACGCCAAAGTGGAGGATTATTGATGGAGATGGTGAGCTGGCAGCGGAATCGAAAGATGTAGGATGTGGGGCGAGTGATGATGAGGATGAAGAGGTGATGTTTTTCATATTTACTCTATGGTGCCCTCTAGAGGTGACCTATTTATCAAAATGTTTATTAACTTAAGTACCTGCACTTGTTGTACGTTTGTTTTTGCTTTTTTTTTTTTTTTTTTCCAAAGTTATAAATGAGCTTTCATTAGTTAAAGATTTGATTTTACACTTAGGTAAATTTCAAATTAAATATGGACAACCCTGTTGCAAAATGAACGGAGATTAACATTATAGCAAACTGCTTCAGTATTATATATAAATTATATTCTGTATTTTTACCTTGCTCGTACCATCAAAGATGGAAGGGAAAGGTATATTAAGGGAAAAATTTTGTCCGGCGTTGTTGTCGTCGTTAATAATTGTTATTGTGTGCATGATAACTTTACTAATTCTATTCCAAACTTCATCAAACTTGGTCACCTTGTTTATCAGTATAAAGTCTTCCCTGAGTTTGAACAACAGATGTCCTGTATGAAAATATCATGCAAAAATTGAGAAAAACTGATAAAATATTTTGACTGTTTCTACTTGACTGATCACTGGTGATACACATCAAAGGTCACTGATCTCAGTGGAAATATGCATTGTTGTATGTGTTCAATGAAGCAAATGATTTATCTTGTAATAATATCCTTGGTAATGTATCTCAGAATCCCTTACTGGGTTTCAAAACCAACTCATGGAGAGATTGCACAGTCTGATACACATTTGCAAACCTACCAATAAATCTTTACAGAAAACAAGATTGTCAGAAAATCAATATAAGCACTCCTATGAACTGGGTGCCAAACTTTGATCAGATCTGAAGCTAATAGAAAATCTGTTTAGTTCAAAGTTATCAAATCAGACATACATTAAAAAATAC